GTTGGAATGCAATACGTACAAGTTTGGTATACGTATGTATAGATGTATGTATATATGTATGTCTGTATGTATGAATGTATCTATTTATGTATTAATAATTGAAATAGTGTTAGTTGGAATGCAATACGTACAAGTGTGGTATATGTATGTATAGATATATGAATATATGTATGTATATATGTATGAATGTATGTATTTATGTATTAATAATTAATTAAATAATTCGAATACAGAAACTAGTAAAATGATATGACCTAAAAAAAATGGAATTGTGAAAGGAAAGTGGCAACAAATGTCTGTTGTTGTTGAAGTTGTTGTTGTTACTGTTGTTGTTGTTTGTTTGTTTGTTATTATTGTTGTCCATGTATATTAATTTTTTTAATATTCTTTCTGTCTTTGTTTCTTTAAATATCACAAATCAAGAATTTGTTTATAATAAATGCGAAAAATCATCGTTCTCGTAAGGACGATCGCGTTTTTATTTGATTCGATCCCTCAGCAGACAATCCCAAATAACCCTAATGGCGTTTTGTGTAACACGAAATGGCCCAAGAAAAAAAAAATAAAATAAAAAAAATTAAAAGTACACACCTTCTTTTTAAAATGAAAGCCTTCTTTTGTCTTCTTTTTGTTTTTTTATACATTTCATTAATTTTTATACACGTGCGCGTTGAAACGAATAATGGAAACACACTTCAAATGAATCAACAAAAATCAAAAACAAAAATAAGAAAAGAAAAATAAAAGACCAAAAAACAAAATTCCAAACACTAAAATAAAAAGAGAGAGAGAGAGAGAGAGAGAAACAACGCACAGACATTTGCTTTTCTTTTCTTTTCTTCAAAGTATACATAAATTTAAATAATAATTGTTTATAATAATTAAATCTCTAAGCAACTCGTTGTTTTTCTCTCGTTTGAAAATTTATTATCTCTCTCTCTCTCTTCATCTCTCTATCTCTCTTTCTCTTTTGCACACACTTGGAAATTCGTTCGCCACATTCTAGAATCGTTGTGTGGTACATTTTTTCATTTATTATATTTTCTTTCTCTCTTTTATTAAAGACGTAACTAAGGTTAATATCCTTCCTTTTCTCTCATCCCTTTTTTTTTTTATTACTTTTGTTGAATTTTATTATTTATTTAAATCTAAATCTCACATTTTCTTGTCCACCCTTTTCTTCTTTAATTCTTCTTCTTCTTCTTCTTCTTCTTTTTCATTTATTTATTTTTATTATTTACGGTTTCTTTTTTATTTTTTATTATTACTTTTTTTTTTTATTTTTTATTTTTTTTTTAAGTTAACCGACTACGCATGCTAATCGAATTAAATATATTATATCGGAAGAATTGATTGTATATCCATTATTTTTCACTGAACACCTATTGGTCTTGACGTCTCTTAATAATCGAATTATTATCGTCTCTTCAAAAACACGAGTGGAAAGGTTGATTGGTTGGGAATAGGGATAAAAGGGAGGAAAGGTTTAAAAGGTATTAAAGAGGGCTGGGGAGGAGGGGGAAAGGAAAGGAAAAATACGACAAAATAAACGTTAAATCCCGGGATTAGAAAATTTACGAGTACAGTTTTCTTAATTGGCTCTTGCTTGTGTAGTTTACACGATCATATATCAAGATCCACAAAATACAATGGTGTGTATTAACTTCGTTCGTTACGTTTCAATTCGTTTCATTTCGTTTCAATTCGTTTCATTTCTTCATTTTTCTTCTGTTATTGACAGTACAACAATTCTTTAACAATTAACCACGTGATAGGGTCGATGTGTCGAAGTAAAATAAAAAAGAAAAATTAATAATATTAACCCTTTACACTCTTAGATTTAAGTGGCAAGTCGATTGACGCTGATACGGCGCCCGACTGACTGATTTTCGTTTCATCTCGTTTCATTTCGTTTCAATTTGTTTCATTTCTTCATTTTTCTTCTGTTATTGACAGTACAGAAATTTTTGAACACGATTGGCGCCGATACGGCGCCCGACTGACTGATTTTCGTTTCATCTCGTTTCATTTCATTTCATTTCGTTTCAATTTGTTTCATTTCTTCATTTTTCTACTGTTATTAACAGTACAGAAATTCTTTAACAATTAACCACGCGATAGGGTCGACGTGTTGAAGTAAATAAAAAAGAAAAATTAATAATATTAACCCTTTACACTCTTAGATTTAAGTGGCAAGTCGATTGGCGCTGATACAACGCCCGACTGGCTGATTTCAAGTCATTTTGTTGAATCTATCTGCTTATTTACGATGTATGATAAGATATTTCTTTAAAGATAATACTTAAAGGGTTGAAAAGGGACTGTAAGGTTAACTCTGATCGTAATACACCTGGAAATAGGTGGGAAGTAACAAATTATTGTGATTCGTGTCCTGATAAACACCTAGAATTCATCTTAGGTATTGTTTTACGAAATATTATACAAAAAACTAATTACAGAGTATAATAATTCTCAAAATTTTCTTCTTTTTTGATATAAAAATAAATAAATTTGATGAAAATTTGATTATTTTGTATAAATTTGTTTGTTTATAAATGATTTTAATATACAAGTTCAAATGTTTCTCAGTAATTTGGACCGAAATTGTACTCGAGTGCAAAGGATTAATAATAATAATAATAATAATAAAAAGAAATTTAGTAAAAAAAGGAAAAAAAAATGAGAAGAATTTAATTAATAAAAAGTTTAATTAAATAAATAAAAGTTAGATCAGAATTCGATTATTGTTTCAAATCATTTCTTTGATATGTTTTAAAGTGCACGTTTAAAAAACTGAATGTGAATTGGATACGTAATAATTATTAAATTAATTATTAAATTATTTAAATTAATCTAATTAAATTTGTTTAAAAGATAATTAAACAATCTATTTATATAGAAAAAAAAAAATATATAGAATTGATAGAAAAATCTAGCCCTATTTGACTCAGAATGTGACTTTCTACGAATAACTAATTCCCAAGTTACTTTGTTTTAATTAATTTCTTGTTTTTTTTTTCTTAATTAGTTTATTATGTTTATTAGCCCTTTTTCTTTCCTTTTTGTTTTTGTTTTTTTTTTTAATAATAATTTCGTTAGTTATTAAAAATCACAGATAATGAAACATAGAGTCGCAAAGTACAAACCAATTCAATTCAATTCAATCAATCAACCAATTAATCAAACCAAGCGACTCTGCCCCCGTTTAAAAAACAATTATATTTTTATATCTATTTATTTATTTATTTATTCCCCGAAAATATTAAATAGTAATAGTATTATTAATAGCTAATATAACATATATATATATAATAAATACAACAGTAATAGTAAAAAAACCGTAGCACGTATTTCGCGTTACAGAAAAACTCCATTATGGGTGTACCGCCGGGGGCTCGAATATATTTTTCATGTTATTGTTAATAATTATTATTAATTTTGTTATTATTGTTGTTGTTGAAATTATCGCTAAAATGATTGACCGATCATCAGAACTTTTACGAAAATCTAAAAAACTGAAATATCAATCGATATTTCAATTTAGAAAATCGTAAGAGTAAAGAAAAAGAAACTGAATATTCAAACTCTCCCACCCTTTTCTTTCCCTTCAACCCTTTCTCTTTCTCTTTCTCTTTTTTTTTTTTACTTTCATTCAAAAATATAAACATAACTTTTCTTATTAACACCATAAATCTTCTTATTAATTCAAATACTTTTACCATATTCTCATTTTCATTTATCTTCTTTGAGATGATACAGAAAAAGACAAATTTGTTTATCGTTACAGAACATTATAACATTTTCTAACTCATTCAAATAATTGTTTAAATAATTTTTTAATAGATGATGATGATGATGATCCATTGTTTTTAATTTTCTTTTTGTTTAAAATTTAATTTTGTTTTATTTTATTTTATTTTATTTTATTGGATAGAATGTGCAACTGTAATACTCAAAGCATTGAAGTAAAAAGGGGGGAAAGGATGATGGTCGTTTGATGATGTTGATTATTTTAAGTATTGTATTGTAGAAGAAGTATGATGAATAGTGATGGATAATAATGGCGACGACCCTTTTTTCGAAATAACTGCGATTCTTCCCTCTTCTTCTTCCTCCTCCTCCTCCTCCTCCTCCTCCTCCTCCTCTTCTTCTTTAGCCACCCTTTTTATATTTTACAATCATTGTTTTACGACTTCGAACGAAGAACTCGTGCTTTTTGGATTAGATGTGAGAGAGCTTTTGTTTGTTTATTATTTTTTTTTTAAATTATTATTATTATTATTATTATTATTATTGTTATTATTATTATTTCTA